AAAAAAAGTAAAAATAAAGAAAGGAGGAAACAAATGAGCTAATATCTGGTTATGTAAGGCTTACTAATGAGAAAATCTCTGCATGTGTTTCTACATGCTGGTACTTTGAACCCCTGTCTACATACACAGCAGCATACAAGTTACCTCCTTGTTTTATACTGCGCAAAACATATATAAATGGGCAATATATGGCAATTCATTTGGCTCTAGCTCACATTTTTTCTGCCTTATCTTCAGGCAATAATCCCATTATTCAGTTGCTTTATTCTATTTCTTTCTCACTCTCTCACTCACACTTGGCACTGAGGAACCATGGTGACATAAATTTAGATGACGTACAAGACGTTTGCTGCTGGACCTTTATCTATAATATTTTGTATCTATTTTTGTAAATGATTTTGAAATTGTTGCTTAAGTGCAATATTTTAATAATTAAAAGCAATAGAATTCCAGTAACTTATCATACTTTCTTCTGTTCTTTAGACAAGTCAGAGCAGATGACAGGTTTGATCACAATAAAACCAATTTAGTTTCAACAATCCTATAACATCTGATAGTCTTAGCTCAATCCTATGCAATGACTTAATTATTCCAAAATTAAAACATAATTAATAAGTTGTAAAAAGCAACTGGATCTTACAGTGAGCTATTCAACAACCCTCAATACAATTTTTGCAATATGTAACCCATATATCAATCTGGGATACTTAAAGAGAATCTGAATGGGTTTAACTTGGGAAATTTAAATTGCCCATTATGAAAGCATTCAAGCTGTTAAATTGTCCACTTTGAAAGCAAAATTCAGACAACATTTATATAAAAGATATTTTAAATCCAAACCACTCTGTTTCTCCTTTTGTATTTAAAGCAAAATAACATGCTTATCTAAACATTAAATCAAGCTTTTATCTGTACTTCAAGTAAAGAGCAACTCATTTGATCTTACTCAATTATCTTCTATAAATTATCATGAATGCACAGAAAAGTTTTAGTTATTATTATTTATTATCTAGAGTCCACTAGAGTTGGGTGGCCAATAAATTTAAATAAATTATTAATTTAAATTTA